GGACCTGTGACTGGATCCTGAGCAGTGCAGCAGCCTGGAAAACACAAACGCATGGACCACTGATCTCCTGCTCCAAGGGCGGAGTTCATGAACTGAATTTAACAACCAGTGGAGGGCTTCCCTTTCCCCAAGAGAGATCAGCATCCTTATCCTATTGGTTGAAGCCTCAAAAGAAAAAGTGAGAAAGAAAGAAAGAAAGAAAGAAAGAAAGAAAGAAAGAAAGAAAGAAAGAAAGAAAGAAAGAGGGAGGTAGGGAGGGAGGGAGGGAGGGAGGGAGGGAGGAAAGAAAAGAAAAGAAAAGAAAAGAAAAGAAAAGAAAAGAAAAGAAAAAAAGAAAAATGGCTGAAGACGCCAGTTACATTTCTCAGAAAACTGTATCTTGGTAGATATCCCATATCTCGGTACACTCTGAGTCTCTTGTTCCTTACCAATGTTCTTCATGTCAACGTTCTCCATAATTGGTGTGGATGTCAGAAATGTGCGTCTGGTCATCAGTATTGTAGCTGAAGTTTCTGGGGGTTGCAGATACAAAATTGAAAATTGTTCAATATTCCTGTGGATAGTTGAGCTCTGGGTATGGCCTTAAATTCTTTCCACTAGAAATTAATGAGCTCAATTCTCAATCACCATCCAAAACCTATCTATTTATTTTTGAGACAGTGTATCTGTGTGTAGCCCCAGATCATTTGGGACACACTCTATGGAACAGGCTGGCCTCAAGATCAGAGATCTGCCTACTTTTTCCTCCCTACTGTTGGGATTAAAGGTGTGTACCACTATGTCTAACACTTCAATCTTTTCTAAAGAAAGATGGTGTGCAGAGATGAGAACCAGCTCCCCTTTAAAAGTTGCTTCCTTCAGAGTGTACTCATGGTTGCCTTGTGTGCCATATGCAAAAACATTCGGTGTTGCATATTTTATCACTTCTATTTTTTAAAAAATATCATCTATCTATCTAGGTACAAAATAGGACCAAATAAAATAGACTCTGTTTATCTTTTGTTGTAAGACTTTTACAAGGTTCACTGATCCCACCACACCCCAAGTAGGATTTTCTGGGATTTTTTCTTACCTGGATCAATGTTCACACTAACTTTAAACATATGATCCGTTCCAGATTTCGTAATTCCACACCAGTAAATGCCAGCATCGCTAATCCTCAGATCCTCCATGGTCACTGTGAAGATGCAGTGTGTCTGGTCATCCCTGATGGACACACGGTTCTTCTTCTCCAACCGTTCTGAGGCATCGGTTTCAACGAGAATCTCACATGTTTTCCAATAATCCCCTTGGCACCAGTACTTGTTGTAATCCTTCCATCCTGAGGTATATCGGCACTGCACTGTCAAGGAGCCCTGCTCCTGACCCCTCACCTCCTCTGGACCTGTGACTGGATCCTGAGCAGTGCAGCAGCCTGGAAAACACAAATCCATGGACCACTGATCTCCTACTCCAAGGGAGGGGTTCATGAACTGAATAACAACCAGTGAAGAGCTTCCCTTCCCCAAGAGAGATCCACATCCTTATCCTATTGGTTGAAGCCTCAAAAGAAAAAATGTGAAAGAAAGAAAGAAAGAAAGAAAGAAAGAAAGAAAGAAAGAAAGGAAAGAAGGAAGGAAGGAAGAAAAAAAGAAAGGAAGGAAGGAAGGAAGGAAGGAAGGAAGGAAGGAAGGAAGGGAGAAAGAAAAGAAAAGAAAAAATGGCTGAAGACGCCAGTTACATTTCTCAGAAAACTGTATCTCGGTAGATATCCCATATCTTGGTACACTCTGAGTCTCTTGTTCCTTACCAATGTTCTTCATGCCAATGTTCTCCATAATTGGTGTGGACGTCAGAAATGTGCGTCTGGTTATCAGTACTGTAGCTGAAGTTTCTGGGGATTGCAGATACAGAGAAAAAAATGGTTCAGTCCTCCTGTGGGTAGTTGAGCTCTCGGTATGGTCTTAAATTCTTTCCACTAGGATTAAAGGAGCTCAATTCCCAATCACCATCCAAAGCTTACTTACTTACTTACTTACTTACTTACTTACTTGATTGATTGATTTTTGAGACAGGGTTTCTCTGTGTAGCCCCAGATCATTTGGGAATCACTCTGTGGAACAGGCTAACCTCAAGCTCAGAGATCTGACTATCTTTGCCTCCCTGCTGCTGGGATTAAAGGTGTGTGCCACTGTGTCTAATACTTTAATTCTTTTCTATAGAAAGATGATGTGCAGAGATAAGAACCAGCTCCCTTTAAAACTGGCTTACTTCAGAATGTACTCATTATTGTCTTGTGTGCAATATGCAGAAACACTTGGTATTGCATATTTTACCTCTTTTATATTTTAAAAAATATTCATGTATGTGTGTATGGGTGTCCCTTTCTATCTTCTAAATGCACCATGTGCTTGCTGTGCCCATGGAGGCCTGAAGAGGGCGTAAGAACCGCTGAAATTGAATGACAGATGGTTGCAAGCTACCATGTAGATGCTGGGATCAAAATGCAATCCTCTGGAAGAGCAGCCTGAGTCACTGAGCCATGTCTCCAGATCCAATTTTGTCTATTTTCTTTGTTGTAGTCATTTGAAGCATGAGGTAAACTTCATCCTTATTGCTCTATCTTGCCCAGAAATACATGGTCCATGGCTTTCTTTATATTATGTTAAAGGAGAAAGAGGGGGTCTCAGCATGGGAGTTTAGCTCAGTGGTAGAGTAATTGGCTAGCACACATGAGATTCTATGTTGAATTCTCAGATGTGTAGGAGTGAGAATCTCTCAGACACAAATGGGGGCTAGGAGATGAAGCTTCCCCAACTCACCATCTATCTCAGTAGAAAATAGAACCAAATGGAATAGACTCTGTTTATCTTTTCTCATCAGACTTTTACAAGGGCCGCTGATCCCACTTCAATCAAACCATGATTTTCTGGATTTTCTTTTCTTACCTGGGTAAATGTTCACACTAACTTTAAACATGGGATCCGTTCCAGATTTCATAATTCCACACCAGTAAATGCCAGCATCACTCATCCTCAGATCCTCCATGGTCACTGTGAAGATGCGGTGTGTCTGGTTGTCCCTGATGGACACACGGTTCTTCTTCTCCAACCGTTCTGAGGCATCGGTTTCAACGAGAATCTCACATGTTTTCCAATAATCTCCTTGGCACCAGTACTTGTTGTAATCATTCCATCCTGAGGTATATTGGCACTGCACTGTCAAGGAGCCCTGCTCCTGACCCCTCACCTCCTCTGGACCTGTGACTGGATCCTGAGCAGTGCAGCAGCCTGGAAAACACAAACGCATGGACCACTGATCTCCTACTCCAAGGGCGGAGTTCATGAACTGAATAACAACCAGTGAAGGGCTTCCCTTTCCCCAAGAGAGATCAGCATCCTTATCCTATTGGTTGAAGCCTCAAAAGGAAAAATGATAAAGAAAAGAAAAAAGAACAAAAAAGAAAAACTGGCTGAAGACGCCAGTTACAGTTCTCAGAAAATAAAATTGTAACATTGACCAATCATGGCTGAAATGGAGGAAGTGACAGAAGATCACGTCCATTGGACATGACTCTATCTTCATTTCCATACTCATGACCCTCAGGAGGCTCATCTGAAGAAGCCACATTCCATGGCCACACAGATTCCACTTGTGGTAGTTCAGCAGTCTCCGGAATGTATGCCTTGGAGACTGACTAAAATGACATCAACCAATCTGATCTCCCTGTTGTGCAGAGCCGACAGCACACGTGTGCTGTCCTTCAGATCCTTGTAATCTGAGTCCCAGAGCTTCTGGTCAGGACTGAGGATGCAGCACCATTGGTGAGGTGCTTGCACAGCATGTACAAGCAACAACTATCAAATACCTGCTTAATGATAAAGGAAGCTCTAGAGAGATGGCTCAGTGGTTAAGAGGACTGACTACTAACCAGAGACACTGAGTTAAATTTCCAGCAACCACATGGTGGCTCACAACCATCTGTAGTGTGTCATGATGCCCCTCTTCTGCTGTTTATGAAGACAGAGAACTCACATATATAAAAATACATCAATAAATAAATCTTTAAGAAAAACTATAGGAGCTAGAGAGATGTCTCAGTGGTTAAGAGTACTGACTGCTCCATCAGAGGTCAAGAGTTCAATTCCCAGCACCCACATGGTGACTCATAACCATTTGTAGTGGGATCAGATGCCCTCTCCTCCTCTTAACAAAGATAGAGAACTCATGTAGATAAAACGCATAAATAAATAAATCTTTAAGAAAAACTGCTAAGGAAGTGCTTCAGGGAATTGGCTTCAACAACAAAGTATGTCCTAATGCCACAGGTAAGAAAACAAAAATTGCTGAATGTGATTATTTTAAACTAAAATTTCTCAACCAACAGCATGGAGAGACAGCCTTCAGTGTGGGAGATAATCTATTCCGACTATGGATCCTACATGAGGCCAGTTTCCAGAATACATGAGCAAGAATTCAGCTCAAGGAGACCAACAGAGATGAAAATCCAATTACAAATGAACAAATGAGGGGCCGTGGGGATGTGGCTCAGCCAGTAAAATATCTGCAGTGTAAGCACAACGAAGAATGTGAATTTGTATGCCCAGCAACCAGGTAAAAAGTCAGAGGTCGAGATGGTGTGTCCCTGAAGCCCAGCACTGGAGGTCAACAGTAGAGACAGGAGATTCTAGAAGCTCCTTGGCCATGCAACCCTGATTCAGTTTCAGTGAGGAACCCTGTCTCAGAGAATAAAAGTGCAAGTCAGCCATGGTGGCACATGCAGGCATGTCTCTGTGAGTTCAAGGCTAGCCTGGGTTACATAGAGAGTTGCAAGCTAGCCAGAGCTAAATGAGACCCTGTATCAAACATAAAATAAAATAAAAACTAAGGGCAGGGAGCATTTAAAGAATGACCCCTGGCCTCAACCTCAGGCCTCCACTCGTGTGCATACCCATGGGCAGCTGTGCCTGCACACACGCATGCTTACACCTACACACACATGCTCACACTCCCTCACACACCTACACATGCATGCTCACACCTACACACATGCCCTTCATGCATGTTCACACGTACATGTGCATGCTAACAGTCCCTGCACTTACACAAACATGCTTACACCTATCCACGAATGCACACACACACACACACACACACACACAAGCAGACATACTTTGCAGACTGTTCTCAAAGAAGATACAAATGGTGTAACTATATGGACAAATGTTCAGTTTCACTCATCATCAGGAAGGTCGATGTAAATCAGAATCACAAAGAGCATCATAACCCAGTTTCAATGGTT